AATAGTGCTTAGCACATCATCAGTGCTTTGTGTGAGATTTTATGGTACATTTTAGGTATACACAATGATCACATTCATCATAATTTGTACCTGTACATGATAGAACTTGTTTCTTCCCCACTGGTCTACCGCCCTCCAACCCCTCCTCCCCTCCCCATTTAGAAAGCTTGTTTCCATGTTTCCCTTCTTTTCTCATTTTCTTGACTTTTCCCTCCTTTCCTTTCCTCCTCCTCTCTCCCCTGTTCCCCTCCCCATTTGAACATTTTCCTCCTGTTTCACAATACCTGCTACACATTTTGGTCCTTATTTACACTTTCAGTGTCTCACAGCAGAGAAACAATTCAGTATTTACACGTGTCCCGTTTATTTCACTTAAGAGTATGGTCTTGCCAGGTGCGGTGGTGCACGCCTGTAATCCCAGCACTCAGAAGGCTGAGGCAGGAGGATCCATGCAAGTTCAAGACCAGCCTGGGCTACAAAGTGTGTTCAAGGCCAGCCTGAACTGCATAGCAAGACTCTGTCTCAAAAAGACCAAAAAAAAAAAAAAAAAAAAAAAAAGAGTATGGTCTCAAGGTGCATCCATTTTCCTAGAAATGTCTCAAGCTTATCCTTCTTTATGGCTGAGTAGTACTCCATTGTATATTTTTTAAAAAACGCACATCTTCTTTACCTATTCACCAGTTGATGGACACTTGGGCTGTTTCCAAGATTTAGCTATTACAAACTGTGCCACTATAAATATGGGTGTGTATATATCACTGTGGTAGGATGCCTTTAATACTTGTGGGAAGATACCCCGGAGGCGAATGGCTAGGTCAAATGAAACATCTAGTCCTAGTTCTTCGAGGAATCTCCACGTGATTTCCACAGTGGCTGCCCCAGTTTACATTCCCATCAACAGCAGAGAAGGGTTCCTTTTCCCCACAGCCCCACATCATAAATGCTTAATCAGTCTGAGTTATTATAATCCCCCCCCCCCCGGCCTACTGGTTGAGAAATTTCATTCCTAAAATATCATCCTTCTACCTCTAATAGCGTGAAAAAAAATCTCAAAAGTATTATGCACATGGAGCCAGAGTCGGAAGAGTACACAGTGCAGAATCCCATGGTGGGAGAACGCTAGGACGGGAAACACTGATCTGTAACACTGACAGGAAGCACGTCAGCAGTCCAGGAAGGGGGAGGTCTGCTTCCTGAAGGGCACAAGGCAGCTTCCAGAGGGACAGAAATGGTCTGTATTTTGCTTGGGTTGGTATCGCATGGATATACACTCTTGTCAAAACTCTTAAAAGTATACCCTTAAGTACACGTACATTTTGTCATACATAATGTACAATTACACCCCAGTGGTTTCTTCAGAGAAGATACGCAAACGGTGAATAAGCATAGGAAAACCACACTATTCAACACCACTGATCATTAGTGAAATGCAGATCAAAACTATTCCCACGACTGCTATAAAAAAAATACTAAGGGTTAGTGAAGACGAGAAACTGGAATGCTTCGGCACAGCTGGCGGGGATAGAAAATAGTGAGACACTATGAAAAGTAGTACGGTGAATCTTCAACAGCGTACAAACAGAACTACTGTCTGATTCGTTGAAATAAATTAGTAACAAAACAAAGACAATATGATTTCGCTGATATGAGGTACTTAGATTATTAACCAATTTAATAGAGATAGAAGGTGAATAGTTCCTAGGGGTTAGAGCAGACTGGCGGGAAAATAGGGAGCTACTGTATAATAGGTAGAAAGTGTGACCTGTTCCCACACCCTAAACAAGCAGATCTTCCTGGTGCCAAAGTGTGTGCAGACATCTGAGTGTAACTGCACCTACATCCTGAAATACCTGTATATTTTGTTCTGCTTACTTTATGTAGAGCTCACCCTCAACCTCAGGCGCTGTGCCTTCTCTATGAACATCTAGCTGGGTGTGGTGGTGCACGCCTGTACTCGGGAAGCTGAGGCAGGAGGATCATCGCAAGTTCAAGACCAGCCTGGGCTACAAAGTGAGCTCAAGACCAGCTTGAACTGCATAGTGAGACCCTGCCTCAAAAACACCAAAAGAAAAAGCAATCTATGAATATCTACAGCCGGCTTAATTCTCCCACATGACGGTACCTTGCTGATAACCTTGCCCTGCTAAAGTAAATGCCATGCCCAAATTCAGAATCTATGACAGAGGGCATTAGTGAGTAACTGCAAATGCTGAAGTGTCTGTACCTAGTTTAATAACCACAGAAGTTTTTGAACAAGCAAGTCCACACAATTAGGGTACTGACTGAACCGATGCTATGTATGGGGTCGACAGAAGTTAAGTGGGAAATAATCCCAATCTCTTTAGCTCTTCTGCATGAATTCCATTTCCATTTTCAAAATCAGTTTGGTTGTCCCCATATTTCCCATAATGCTCTGAAGTTCTAGAATGACAACATGGATGGTGCGTTCCCAACAAGATCTATCCAGGACCGTTCAGGTCAGACTATGCCCACCACGTCACCCTCCCGAGTCTCAGTGTTCTCAGAGATTCGACATAATGTTCTCTAGAGCTACTCTGCCCTCTGACTAGGCTGACCGGCATCATCCTAATTTGTTTTGGACTGTCCTTGCTGTCTCTGACCCAGGAACTTCCTCAGTCCCATGCACACTGGAACAGCTAACCGCCCTAGCCCAGGCAAGCCAAGATGGCTGGGCATCCTCTATATATAACACCTAGAGTCTAAGACATGCCCACGGCTGTCTTGAATAGTTGGGAGAAGTACACTCCACAGCTATTTGAGAAAGTGGAGGTAGCCGGGCGTGGTGGCGCACACCTGTAATCGAGCACTCGGGAGGCTGAGGCAGGAGGATCCTTGTGAGTTTGAGATCAGCCTGGGTTACAAAGTGAGCTCAAGACTAGCCTGAACTGCATAGCGAGACCCTGTCTCAAAAAGACAAAAAAAGAAAAAAAAAAAGTGAGCTCAAGACCAGCCTGGACTGCATAGTGAGACCCTGTCTCAAAAAGACCAAAAAAAAAGAAAGAAAGAAAGCAAATGGAAGCAGCTACACAGGCAACCACTGACCAGGAGTAGGACACAGCACATGGCCACGTGGGCGGGGCCTACCCATTCCCCTTGGCCTCGCTAGCACCCCGCTGTTACTCACCCAGACTCCTTAACCCCTTCCCTGGGACCAAAACGGAGCGTCTCTAACTTGCCAAGTGAGAATTAGGTTGTGCCCTGCTTCACAAAGTCACATTTTTAAAAATGTCAGCCGTACACAAAAGTATTTTGTAATGATATTTTTACTACAGGGAAACATGCACTGGAAAACTCCTGGCAACCTACTTTCCCATCTTACAGCTCACATGCGAAACCTTTCCCTCTGATATCCTCCCTCTTTGCCTCTGCCGGCCCAGCCCACGGAAGCTGCTTACCCCTCCTCCGCCCCACGCCCGCGCACACCACTGATGACCTTAAAGGTCTCCAAGTGCCAAGACACAGCTGCGTAAAATTTCATCAACATTTTAAAGTACAGCATCAGAACATCAGATGACTCTTATTTATATTTTACTTTACACTTCAGTGTGATACCCAGGTGAAATGCATTTCAAAGATTAAAAATAAAACACTTACTTTCCAGAAAAGCCTTCTCAGAATGAAATTTTTCTGGGCTGCTACTTTAAGTTCCGTAACTAAACAAAGTATCTCCCTCAAAGTATTGTCTTTAAGAAAGAGTTCGGATTTCAGTTGACTGAAGTGCTTAATTTTCTCCTCAGATCTATAGAAACAATAAAAAAATTGTTCATGTAAAAAATAAGAAAGATCAGTGACTTGGATAGGCTTCTAACACTTTATTACCAATTTTAATATAGTTTTGTACTCCCAGAGTTAGTACTCCCCAGTAGTGAGGCTTGCTCCCCACAAACTGAACTGTTTGTCGCTTTCCAAAGGTACTTTTGCTTTTGTTTTTTTTTTCCGGTACCGGGAATTGAACTCATGACCTTGCGCTTGCCAGGCAGGCACTGTGCCACTGAGCTAAATTCCCAGCCCCTTCCGAAGGAGCCAGGTCATTTATTCAAGCAGCTTCCATACAGGGAAAGCCCTCACGGTCCTTAGTAAACTTCTGGACCTCCAGCCCTGCCTTGTCTTTATCATTTACCGTAATCCACAAACCACACATAACAATATTTGCTTAAATTTTTTTCTTCCAATCAACTCACTTGGGTTTTGCGTAAAGAAGTTTACTTTTTTCTTTTTCTTTTTTTATTTTCAAGAGAGAAAAAATAAAAACGATAGGGAATTCCAAAACAAGATGACAGGAAAATAGCAATGGTTATTATACCGCATATTGTTATCTTCAAAGTAGTTGCTCAGGTTGCCAGGTACAGACATGCAAAATGGATCGAACAATAGAAGCACTAACTGTCCCTTTCAATGAACTAATAGAAATTAGCAGTACAATTATCTCAGCTGTCTTGTGTGTATATACATATCTTTTTTTCCTCTTCTTTTCTTTGAAGAAGTTCATTTATAAAGGAAACACTGTATTCCTACATGATAGGGGAAGGTAGTATCATTTGGTATAAATAGCAGGGAACTGTTTAAAACAAAACAGCTTGAAGTCCTAAGTGAGATCAGAGCCTGAGGCTTGCTCTGTCTCTGCACAAAAGGTGGACGAACTTGGATCAGAGAGAGCTGTCCCTCTTGTCACTTCAGGGAGCCACAAGGTGCTCCAGCTGGCAAACGGAATTACTTTTCTGCCTCGGAACCGAAAGTCATTCCAGGCTGTGTCAGCGTACAACCTGAAATCGTCTGCCATCACTGAACATCACGGTGCATCTCACACACCGGGAGAAGCAGGCTAAGCTGAAAAGATGACAGCTTCTCCTCCTTCCACCTTCCCTGATTTCACCAATGAGCGTAGCTGCTCTCTCATTGCAGATTTTTTTTTTTTTAAATTTTTTTTGCCTTTTTGGGACAGGGTCTCACTGTGCAGTTCAAGCTGGCCTTAAGCTCCCTTTGTAGCCCAGGCTGGTCTCGAACTCACAAGGATCCTCCTGCCTCAGCCTCCCCAGTGCTGGGATTACAGGCGTGCGCCACCACGCCTGGCTTTCATTGCAGACTGTTAACACTTCTAAACCGAGGCATGATGGCGCACACCTGTAATCCCAGCACTCAGGAGGCTGAGGCAGGAGGATTATCTCGAGTTCAAGGCCAGTATGGGCTACAAAGTGAGCTCAAGGTCAGCCTGAACTGCATAGCAAGACCCTCTCTCAACAAAACAAAACAGAACAAAACACTGCTAACATCACACTACTCCTATCTCATCCTACTGGACTTACTTTTGTAAGTATCCCGGCCTCTCAGCTGATTTTCAGCAATTTGAAAAGTTGTCACTAGGCTGAACACTGCTTCCATCTCACCCTGTTCTCATCAGCAACAGCTTGTGCTTCGCCGGCCTGACTGTACGGCAGGCTCTGGCCTGGGCTCCATTCATAATCTAGTGCACTGAACTAGCTGCCCCAGAGGGCTTGAGCTGGGAATTGCCACGGCACTCTATGGGAGGGGACAAGGGCTAGATCCCTGTCCAAAGTCACAAAGCTGAGGACTCAGATATCCGGGTGCAAACCAACAGCAGGAGGGGTAGTTCATTTCTGCACAGTTGAGGGAATCTCAGCATTTCCTTCTTCGAAGTGAAAACAATTTTAACCCCTTCTCCAGAAACCTGGGGTAGCAGCCACTTATCCCCATATGAGATGTTCCCCCCTATCCAGTTAATGAGCCTCTCGTTTAACCCCCAGATCAGACTTTCTGGAAAGATCGTCTCTTTTACAGTGGGAACATGGAAGGAAAAATGGTCATTACAGAGTCAGCAGTAGCAATGCTCGGGCAGAAGAACATAGTGATTATAAACATGAGGGCGAGGTCAGAACCCTGGGTCTGCCTCTACCCAGTTAGGTAATTATTACCCGGCAGGTTACCTCCCTGTGCCTCAGACGCCTTATCTGCACAATAAAGATGATTGTAACACCCACTGCGCTGTGATACCTCAGTGAACACGTGTCCTTAGCACACAGTCTAAATAAAAACAACAAATCTGAGATCCTGCTTCACTATAAATTTACTTGTAATCACTCTTTTTTTGTTGTTGTTTTTTTTTCCAGTACCGGGAATCAAACTCATGACCTCGCTCTTGACAGGCAGGTGCTGTGCCGCTGAGCTAAATCCCCAGCCCTCTAATCACTCTTATTTCATTTTTTTTTTTTTTTTTGACTTTTTGAGAAAGGGTCTTGCCACGCAGTTCAGGCTGGCCTCAAACTCGCAACAATCCTCCTGCCTCAGCCTCTTGAGTGCTGGGATTATAGGCGTGCACCACCACGCCCGGCAGGCTCTTATTTCACTTTTTTTTTTTTTTTTTTTTTTTTTTGTCTTTTTGAGACAGGGTCTCGCTATGCAGTTCAGGCTGGCCTTGAGCTCCCTTTGTAGCCCAGGTTGGTCTCGAACTCACAATGATCCTCCTGCCTCAGCCTCCTGGGTGCTGGGATTACAGGTGTGCACCACCACGCCCGGCTTCTTATTTCACTTTTAAAAGAACTATTAATCCCTCTGCTCTCTGAGAACTCCCAAAGCAACATCAACAAATGAACTGAGCAAAAAAAAAAAAAAAAGGCTCAGATGGAAATACAGCTGCAGAATTAGCTTAAAAGTAGTATTTTTACCTTTGCCCATTCAGAGTTGGCCGTTCGCTCTGATCATAAGTTTTTAATCCTTTGCCATGTATGATAATAGATGTGATTCAAAATTAATTTTCTTTAAAGACCAAAACTTTTCCATATGAAAAAGGACACTAATCTCTTTGTATTAAAACTTAATTCATGCATAAACTGAGGTCTCCTATATATCATAAATTCAAATTAGATTAGACAGTATATCAAGATTACAGTTTCTTTGGACAAAGGGTGTTGCTTTTAGTCAAATGGCAAAATTTTTTTTTCAGTACTAGAAACTGAACCCAGGACCTTTGCACTGAGTTACAACTCCAGCTCTTTCTTATTTTTTATTTTGAGTCAGGGTCTTGCTAAGTCACTAAAGTGACCCAGCTGTGCTGAAATTTGTGATTCTTTAACCTCAACCTCCTGAGTGCTAGGATTACAAGTATGCCCCATATTTTTTTAATTACAGAAATTTTCTGAATAAAATTATATAAGAAATTCCCCTGTACTCATAACCTAGTTACAATAATTTTCAACATTTAACCAGTTTTGTTTGACCTATTCCCTTACACACAGACACACATAGACACACACAGATACACTATTTTAAAAGTAGGATAAATAAATATAACGTAACATGAAACCTACTGTTGTGCTTGTTTCACATGTGCAATTCAGTGGTACTGAGTGTGCTTCCAGTGCTGTACCACCATCGTCACTATCGATTTCCTGAAGTGTTTCATCTTCCCAAACAGAAATTATGTACCCGATAAACAACTCTGCATCCCTCACTACCCCTAGCCCTTGGTCACCTCAGCTCTATTTTCTGGCTGTACAAATTTCCCTTTTCTAGACGCCTCACACAAGTGGAATCACATGATATTTGTTCTTTTGTGTCTAGGGTAGTGCACTCGACATAATGTCTCTGAAGTTCATCCACGTTGAAGCGTGTGTCAGAGTTACTTTCCTTCTCACTGCTAGTACATCCGGACTTTTAAGTCAGGTTCAGGTTTAACGGATGTAATACAGACACGTCAGAGGTGGTGCTGTGTATTTTATGTCACATCAAACGATCACGCAGACC